GCCCCTTGCTCCCGGCATTTTAGTCGCCTCTTACAACACGCATGGCTTACAGAGGAAGAATTCTGTTCCACTTCCCCATGGAGATAACAGGAAATAAACAAGAACAAGAACTAGTAAGAAAATAGAAGAAAACCCAGAGGGGTGTGTGTATATATATATACAGTGGACCCCCGCATAGCGATTTTAATCCGTGCAAGAGGGCTCATTGTTATGCGAAATGATCGGTATGCGAATGAATTTTCCCCATAAGAAATAATGGAAATCAAATTAATCCGTGCAAGACACCCAAAAGTATGAAAAAAAAATTTTTACCACATGAAATATACATTTTCCTACACACAAAGAGAAGGATACATGCACAATAGTAGAGTAGTACATGCACAATATATATTGTGATGTACTACTCTACTAAATGAAGAATAAAAAGACACTTACCTTTATTGAAGATGCAGCAATGACTGATGAGACACTGTGTCCTGGGAGTGCCTTTTCCTCCTGAGTACTGTAGGTCCTGTTTGGCATTTTCTTCCAGAACAAGCCTTATCACACTGTGTATGCCACTACGATTCTTAATCTCTCAAACAACCTTTGCTGGCTTTAAATTCACCAATATGAGCACTAGTTCCAGGCATTTTTCCCTGTCCACCTGGGTGTTAGTCGACTGGTGTGGGTTGCATCCTGGGAGACAAGATTAAGGACCCCAATGGAAATAAGTTAGACAGTCTTCGATGACACTGACTTTTTTTGGGTTATCCTGGGTGGCAAATCCTCTGGGGTTTAATTGTTTCTTGGTATTCCAATAAGCCACACCAACAATGGTGCTACAGCAGCAGCAGCAGCAGCAGCAGCAGCAGCAGCAGCAGCAGCAGCTGACAGTGCTACAGCAGCAGCAGATGATGCTACAGCAGCAGCAGACGATGCTACAGCAGCAGCAGACGATGCTACAGCAGCAGCAGATGGTACTACAGCAGCAGCAGCAGCTGACGGTGGTACAGCAGCAGCAGCAGCAGCTGACAGTGCTACAGCAGCAGCAGACGATGCTACAGCAGCAGCAGACGATGCTACAGCAGCAGCAGACGGTACTAACAGCAGCAGCAGCAGCTGACGGTGGTACAGCAGCAGCAGCAGCTGTAACACCAATAGTAGCGATGGTTGATTGGGGTTTATTATACAACCTGGCCAGCTCGGAGACACGCACTCCACTTTCATACTTATCAATGATCATTTTTCTTCATCTCTATAGTAATTTCACCCTTATTGCTGTAGGTTGGCACTAGAAGCTTTCTTGGGGCCCATGGTCACTTATTTTGCAGATAAAATCACCAAAAACACTGTAATAATACGAAATGTTCCGATTGTATGCTTGGATGTTACCGCGGAGGCTGGCTGGTAAACAATGCCACAGGCGGCACATGTGAGGCTGGCTAAGGGCGCACATTGGACACGTCTCGGACGAACAGCGGTGAGCGGGTTTTTGAGCGGTATGCGAGGCAAAATTTTTGCGATAAAAGCGAGCGGTATGCGGATTAAACGTTATGTGATGCCGACGGTATGCGGGGGTCCACTGTATATGCTTGTACATGTATGTGCAGTGTGACGTAAGTGTAAGAAGAAGTAGCAAGACATACCTGAAATCTTGCATGTCTGAGACAGAAAAGAGATACCAGCAATCCTACCATCATGTAAAACAATTACAGGTTTCCGGTTTACACTCACTTGGCAGGACGGTAGTACCTCCCTGGGCGGTTGCTGTCTACCAACCTGCTACCTAGGAATAGTTTTATATATTACTCTAATTTTTCCTTCTTTAGTGTATAAACCTTCACCTCTCTGTTACTTGCTGATGCTAAATTCTCCTTGTTACTCATCTACCTTTAACCCTTTCAGGGTTGGTGCCGTACTAGTATGGCTTGCACGCCAGGGTTGGTGCCGTACTAGTACGCATAAATTCTAGTGCCTTCAAATCTAGCGAGAGAAAGCTGGTAGGCCTACATATGAAAGAATGGGTCTATGTGGTCAGTGTGCACAGTATAAAAAAAATCCTGCAGCACTCAGTGCATAATGAGAAAAAAAACTCCGACTGTGTTTTTGGTTTAAAACAGCGACTTTGCAGTGTATTTTTGTATGCTATTTGCGGGTGTATTCTAGTTTTCCTGATCTCATTTTATAGAATGAAAGACATATTACGGAAATTGAGATGATTTTGATTGGTGTCACAAAGAAAAATACCTTGAAATTAGCTCAAAATAGCAGAAATGTTTGATTTTGGCCAAAGTTCAAAAGTAAACAAATCGTGCCATGCGTCCAATACACGTCAACTGGTGAGTCTAATATTCTTTCACAAGTGCGCTGATATTATTTGTACCGTTTCTACACCAATACAGTAGTCTGCATAACATAAATCTTCTATTTTTTGTGAGAATAAAAATTGAAAGTGGAAAGCAAAAGAAATGTAACACAGGCCTGGGAACGTGAGTAATGAGCAGAGGAAATGTTATTTTAATGCCAGGAATGTCTTTCTTGTTTGTTCTGGACCCTATTTGGAAATTGGTATCTTTTGAAATTTGTGTGAAATTGGCAAAATTGCCAATTTCTGACCACTTTATTGGATAGTTGAAATCGGTAAATGGGTGGTTTCTTGTACTCATTCGATAGAAAAAATAGAGTTCTAGCAAAATAGGTATAATATTTGTTGACTGGTACATTGGAATTGGCCGAAAATAGAGCTCAAAGTGGGCGAAATCGTTGATGCATAAACATCGTTGAGACCGCTAACTTCGCGAGAGCATAATTCTGTAAGTTTTCCATAAAATTTCATACTTTTGGTGTCATTATGATCAGGAAAAGATTATCATTTCGTAAGAAAAAATTATTTTTTTTTTTTCGAAAAATTTCCGACCCTGAGAACAAGTTTAGGAGAGGGCCTGCCGACCCTGAAAGGCTTAACTCTCTCTATAGCTACAACTGAAAAATGATCTGATACATCTGTGGCTTCTCTTTAAACATGCACATCCTGAAGTCTACCCTTCTTGTATTCTTATTTTTTTTCTTCTTAAAATATGTATTACCACATTTTGCAGCTTATTAGGTGCATGTTTTTTTCCATAAACTGTCTCTAAAAACCACCCTGCATCCTATAAACTGAAGGTCAGTTTATAGTTTATCATTTTTACACCTGACACCACAAAATTATCTACCATACCTTCTACAACCATTTCACCCACTTCAGCATTCAGGTCCCCCTACCACAATTACTCGCTCACTCGGTTCAAAACTTCCCGAACACTCACTTAACATCTCCCAAAATCTCTCTCTCTCTCTCCTCTACACTTCTCTCTTCTCCAGATTTTTTTTTATTTTTTTTATTATCACACTGGCCGATTCCCACCAAGGCAGGGTGGCCCGAAAAAGAAAAACTTTCACCATCATTCACTCCATCACTGTCTTGCCTGAAGGGTGCTTTACACTACAGTTTTTAAACTGCAACATTAACACCCCTTCTTCAGAGTGCAGGCACTGTACTTCCCATCTCCAGGACTCAAGTCCGGCCTGCCGGTTTCCCTGAACCCCTTCATAAATGTTACTTTGCTCACACTCCAACAGCACGTCAAGTATTAAAAACCATTCGTCTCCATTCACTCCTATCAAACACGCTCACGCACGCCTGCTGGAAGTCCAAGCCCCTCGCACACAAAACCTCCTTCACCCCCTCCCTCCAACCTTTCCTAGGCCGACCCCTACCCCGCCTTCCTTCCACTACAGACTGATACACTCTTGACATCATTCTGTTTCGCTCCATTCTCTCTACATGTCCGAACCACCTCAACAACCCTTCCTCCAGATGCATAAACTTATTATAACCCACTTTGCATCCAACCCTTATTTTAATCCACATAATCCTTTTATTAATTTATTTTTCCTCTTCTCCTTCCATAACTGAGCCTTCAACATTATTGCTATACACCTTTCTTAGGTCTAACTCTCTCAGATACTCCTGACCTAATCCCATTTATTTCTCCCCACTGAAACTTCCCTAACCCCTTCAGCTTTGTTATGCTTAGAAGAAGGTCATCCAACTTCTTTTCATTCATAACATTGGTAGTCATCTGTACCACATCCACACACATTCAGACATTCTAGCTTTATAAAGCTTTTCTTCTTTTTCTTTTTGGTTATTTATACAGAAGGCTTACTAGCCCATTGCTCCTGGCCTTTTAGTCGCCTCTTACAACACTCATGGCTTACAGAGGAAAGATTCTTTTCCACTTCCCCATGGAGATGAAAGGAAATAGATAAGAACAAGATCTATATAGAAAATAAAAGAAAATTCAGATCTGTGTGTATACATACATTCTTTCAACGCACTGGCTGTATCCCACCGAAGCAGGGTAGCCCAAGAAGAAAAACAAAAGTTTCTCTCTTTAATTTTAGTAATGTATACAGAAGAAGGGGTTACTAGCCCCTTGCTCCTGGCATTTTAGTCACCTTTTAGGACACGTATGGCTTATGGAGGAAGAATTCTGTTCCACTTTCCCATGGAGACAATAGGGAATAAATAATAAGAAAACCCAGAGGGGTTTATATATATATGCTTGTACATGCATGTGTGGTGTAACCTAAGTGTAAGTAGAAATAACAAGATGTATCTGTGTTCTTGCGTGTTCACAAGACAGAAAGAGAAGAAAACCAGCAATCCTACCATTGTGTTTAACAGTTAAAGGTTTCTGTTTCACATGCATTTGGCAGGATGGTAGTACCTCCCTGGGTGGTTGCTGTCTACCAGTCTACTACCTAAGTATTTAAGGTCATTAAGGGTTAAATGCACTCAAGCATTGTTATATAGAGCAAAGCAGTCATAGTAAAAGGTTACTTTGCACCTGTTTCTTTTCTTCATTAGCTTTTAGCATTCTTTTCATAAATCAGTTTTCCATTCTTTCCAGTTGTCACTCAGTTCCATGAATATTGGAATTTCGTTAAATGAGCTAAAACTTCCTTTTCAGGTACTTCTGGCTCTTGCAGCTCTTTTGTCTCTAGTTCCTATAATTTTGAAGAATCGTCTTCGAGAAAAGTTTGACTAGGGCTGGTATCCTTCCATGGGTCATGTGTGGAGGTCAAAGCATCAGGACATGGTCATGTCAACACAGTCACCAAAAACAAAGGACAAGACCAAGAGCAGGAGGGTCAGAAGAGGTATTCTCATCCTGTATAAGAAACAAGAATTTTCGGCACAAACGAGCGAGTGTCAGGGAAGTGAGTTTGAAGAGAAAGTTCTAACAGATATATCACCAATACTCTCCCCAGATAGATCAGCTTACTTTCCTGGAGATCCTGCCATTGAAGTAGTTGTCATTGCACATTCAGGCCACTGAACATTGGTTTAGCAGTTTTTGCTGTACATTATCTTAATACAGTTGTGTACATTAATTTTTTCTTACAAATGATATGTTATTATTTGAGCATACATCTTGCATTTAAAGATTTCATTTTTTTTTTTTTTTGAAATCCTAAGTACGTGATGTTAAATTTAATACAGAGTAGCAAAGTTTAATGTAAAATAAATCTTGTCATTACAGAATCTAGTGGTTTGATATGGACAGATGGTCCACTACTTTTTGTAATTATGTATAAATTCTCTGTATTAATGTATGATTGATGGTGTAGGTGGTGTTGATGTCCCCATGCCAACTTCTCCCCTACATTGTCCTGCAAATAACACTGAAATTATATCAACACTGCTTGCTCAGTGTTATCAGTGTGTGTCCTGTAACTGATTCCAACTCTTAAAACAAGTTAAAGGGTGTCACTTTATTATTCAAGCCAAATAACAAAGTAATTGTGGAGGAAGACACTTATGTACAGTTCAGGACATTTATTAAAGGAAATGTTTCACCATGAGTGGCTTCTTCAGTCCTAATACAGAGAAAACTAAGAAAATGAGTATGTGTAGTGGCAGGAGTCAGGTGGAGTGTTGTATGGGTAGTAGTAGTAATGGAACTAATGTAGTGAGATGGGTTGGATTAGGGAAGAACCTGTTAACATCATGTTACAGCAGTCTCCAGAATGGGAATATCCTGTTGATTAGCAATTTTGAGATACTGTAACTACCGGACTTTTGATGGATAGTGTTACTGACAGCAATTAAGGCAGCTTCTATGTACTTTTGCCATCTTCAATCGTCTTCTTTAATCACTAGTTTAGCCTCACTGAATTTCATGAAGTGTCCAACATTGTCCTTATGTTGAACACTCGCATTTTTACGGTTACCATTTCTGCAAGCATTTTTGTGTTCTCTGCTCCTAATGTTCAGAGATTTGCCTGTTTCCCCCACATATACAGTGGTACCTCAGGATACGAACAGCTCAAAACTCGAACAGTTATGTAAGTGTATTTATGTCAGTGCTTTTGTAAGTGTATTTTTAGGGGGTCTTAAACAGATTAATCTACATTAATTTACATTATTCCTTATGGGAACAGCCTTCTGGAACAAATTAAGTTCATATCCCGAGGTACCACTATACTTTCTCACACCCCCACCTGCTATAGTGTACAGTAGGGCCCCGCTTTACGGCGTTCTGCTAATACGGTCATTTCAAATTATGACCTAAAATCTCTGTACGGCTCCCCCACCTGACTTTCTAATACGGTCACTGCACCCCACCCTGTTTATTTACATTCTCCATGAGCTCCGTAAGCACCACATCTCTCCATTGTGTCTGGAAACTCCAAAATTTCAAGTGTTTTTAAAGGTTATTTAATATTTTATATTTTTCTTCTTTCTTCTTTCAACATACCAGCCATATCCCACCGACGTGGGGTGGCCCAAAAGGAAAAATGAAAGTTTCTCCTTTCAAATTTAGTAATATATACAGGAGAAGGGGTTATTAGCCCCTTGCTCCTGGCATTTTAGTCGCCTCTTACGACACGCATGGCTTACAGAGGAAGAATTCTGTTCCACTTCCCCATGGAGATAAGAGGAAATAAACAAGAACAAAAACTAGTGAGAGAGTAATTGTGGTAGGGGACCTGAATGCTAAAGTAGGAGAAACTTTTAGAGAGGGTGTGGTAGGTAAGTTTGGGGTGCCAGGTGTAAATGATAATGGGAGCCCTTTGATTGAACTCTGTATAGAAAGGGGTTTAGTTATAGGTAATACATATTTTAAGAAAAAGAGGATAAATAAGTATACAAGATATGATGTAGGGCGAAATGACAGTAGTTTGTTGGATTATGTATTGGTAGATAAAAGACTGTTGAGTAGACTTCAGGATGTACATGTTTATAGAGGGGCCACAGATATATCAGATCACTTTCTAGTTGTAGCTACACTGAGAGTAAAAGGTAGATGGGATACAAGGAGAATAGAAGCATCAGGGAAGAGAGAGGTGAAGGCTTATAAACTAAAAGAGGAGGCAGTTAGGGTAAGATATAAACAGCTTTTGGAGGATAGATGGGCTAATGAGAGCATAGGCAATGGGGTCGAAGAGGTATGGGGTAGGTTTAAAAATGTAGTGTTAGAGTGTCCAGCAGAAGTTTGTGGTTACAGGAAAGTGGGTGCGGGAGGGAAGAGGAGCGATTGGTGGAATGATGATGTAAAGAGAGTAGTAAGGGAGAAAAAGTTAGCATATGAAAAGTTTTTACAAAGTAGAAGTGATGCAAGGAGGGAAGAGTATATGGAAAAAAAGAGAGAGGTTAAGAGAGCGGTGAAGCAATGTAAAAAGAGAGCAAATGAGAGAGGTGGTAAGATGTTATCAACAAATTTTGTTGAAAATAAGAAAAAGTTTTGGAGTGAGATTAACAAGTTAAGGAAGCCTAGAGAACAAATGGATTTGTCAGTTAAAAATAGGAGAGGAGAGTTATTAAATGGAGAGTTAGAGGTACTGGGAAGATGGAGGGAATATTTTGAGGAATTGTTAAATGTTGATGAAGATAGGGAAGCTGTGATTTCGTGTATAGGGCAAGGAGGAATAACATCTTGTAGGAGTGAGGAAGAGCCAGTTGTGAGTGTGGGGGAAGTTGGTGAGGCAGTAGGTAAAATGAAAGGGGGTAAGGCAGCCGGGATTGATGGGATAAAGATAGAAATGTTAAAAGCAGGTGGGGATATAGTTTTGGAGTGGTTGGTGCAATTATTTAATAAATGTATGGAAGAGGGTAAGGTACCTAGGGAATGGCAGAGAGCATGCATAGTTCCTTTGTATAAAGGCAAAGGGGACAAAAGAGAGTGCAAAAATATAGGGGATAAGTCTGTTGAGTATACCTGGTAAAGTGTATGGTAGAGTTATTATTGAAAGAATTAAGAGTAAGATGGAGAATAGGATAGCAGATGAACAAGGAGGCTTTAGGAAAGGTAGGGGTGTGTGGACCAGGTGTTTACAGTGAAACATATAAGTGAACAGTATTTAGATAAGGCTAAAGAGGTCTTTGTGGCATTTATGGATTTGGAAAGGCGTATGACAGGGTGGATAGGGGGGCAATGTGGCAGGTGTATGGTGTAGGAGGTAGGTTACTGAAAGCAGTGAAGAGTTTTTACGAGGATAGTGAGGCTCAAGTTAGAGTATGTAGGAAAGGGAAATTATTTCCCAGTAAAAGTAGGCCTTAGACAAGGATGTGTGATGTCACCATGGTTGTTTAATATATTTATAAATGGGTTGTAAGAGAAGTAAATGCGAGGGTCTTGGCAAGAGGCGTGGAGTTAAAAGATAAAGAATCACACATAAAGTGGGAGTTGTCACAGTTGCTCTTTGCTGATGACACTGTGCTCTTGGGAGATTCTGAAGAGAAGTTGCAGAGGTTTGGTGGATGAATTTGGTAGGGTATGCAAAAGAAAAAAAATTAAAAAGTGAATGCAGGAAAGAGTAAGGTTATGAGGATAACAAAAAGATTAGGTTGATGAAAGATTGGATATCAGATTGGAGGGAGAGAGTATGGAGGAGGTGAATGTATTCAGATATTTGGGAGTGGACGTGTCAGCGGATGGGTCTATGAAAGATGAGGTGAATCATAGAATTGATGAGGGGAAAAGGGTGAGTGGTGCACCTAGGAGTCTGTGGAGACAAGAACTTTGTCCTTGGAGGCAAAGAGGGGAATGTATGAGAGTATAGTTTTAACCAACACTCTTAATAGGGTGTGAAGCATGGGTGATGAATGCTGCAGCGAGGAGAAGGCTGGAGGCAGTGGAGATGTCATGTCTGAGGGCAATGTGTGGTGTGAATATAATGCAGAGAATTCGTAGTTTGGAAGTTAGGAGGAGGTGCGGATTACCAAAACTGTTGTCCAGAGGGCTGAGGAAGGGTTTGTTGAGGTGGTTCGGACATGTAGAGAGAATGGAGCGAAACAGAATGACTTCAAGAGTGTATCAGTCTGTAGTGGAAGGAAGGCGGGGTAGGGGTCGGCCTAGGAAAGGTTGGAGGGAGGGGGTAAAGGAGGTTTTGTGCGAGGGGCTTGGACTTCCAGCAGGCATGCGTGAGCGTGTTTGATAGGAGTGAATGGAGACAAATGGTTTTTAATACTTGATGTTCTGTTGGAGTGTGAGCAAAGTAACATTTATGAAGGGGTTCAGGGAAACTGGCAGGCCAGACTAGAGTCCTGGAGATGGGAAGTACAGTGCCTGCACTCTGAAGGAGGGGTGTTTAAAGTTGCAGTTTAAAAACTGTAGTGTAAAGCACCCTTCTGGCAAGACAATGATGGAGTGAATGATGGTGAAAGTTTTTCTTTTTTCGGGCCACCCTCCCTTGGTGGGAATCAGCCAGTGTGATAAAAAAAAAAGAACTAGAAAAAAAATAGAAGAAAACCCAGAGGGGAAAGGTATATATGCTTGTAAAATTTTAATTAAGTGGACCGAAGTGTAAGTAGAAGAAACAAATTTTCCCAAAAATTTTCATTTTCAAAAGCAGAAAAAGGGACACTAGAAATCCAACCATCATGAAAAAACAATTACGGGCCCTTTCATTTTAAACCTCATTTGGGCGGGGGACGGTAGTACCCCCCGGCTTTTTGCTGCCCTCCCAAACCTCCCTACCTGGGATTTTTTATAAATACTCTGAAAATTTATATTTAAAGTAAAACCTTACCTACATAAACTTACAAAACTTTCCCTGGCATGCAGGTACACATTAAAAACAGTAAAATTTTTTAAATGTTTTAATGCCAATTAGAAATGAAAATAATACTCAATAATAATCTTTAGTCTCATTAAATGTCATATATTACATTAAAAAATAAAACCATTTTTGTTTAAACCCAGCTGTGATATTTTTTCAAAATTAAAATAATAAACACGATACATAAAATATAAAGATGAAAATCACCCCACATTTGAAAAATTTAAAAAAAAATATGAGATGTGGGAGCCAACAACCTTGTACCCCGTTATGGCAAGAAAATGTTTCTTTTAGTCCCCCAAATTTTAAAAAAAATGTTACTGGGGGTTTAAAAGAAAAAAATTATTCCTTTTTTGTGCCTTCACTCAGAAACGTCATTTCTT